TTCACTTTCCACAGCCATAGATCATTCAGCCATGATACCAAAGGACTGGGGCTTGGCTATTGTAATACTAATATATAAGAAGGGAACGAGAGATGATCCAGCTAAGTATTGCCAAATCAGTTTGTTAAGTTAGATCAGCAAAATGTATGCTAAATATCTACAGAAGAAACTAATCCATTGGCTTGAATCTGAAAACATTCTGATGGATGAACAGGCTGGATTTAGAGCAGGTCGATCAAGGTTAGACCATGCTTTGGTGCTGCAACATCTAATAGAAAAGTACACCCACAAATCAGGACAATTGCTTTATGCAGCATTGATTGACTTTAGGTCAGCTTTCAACACAGTAACTAGAACTAAACTGTGGCATACATTAAAAATACCACAATTAACAAACGTCTACTCCTGCTACTCATTAAAATACACAAGAACACAAGATTGAAGGTCAGGTGTAGTAATCCAGGGCATATCACAAAGGAAATACCCATAAGGAGGGGAGTCAGACAGGGATGTGTATTGGCCCCAGTTTTACTCAACTACTATGTAAACTGATTGCCCCTTCATCGAAGTAGCTCTACTTTTCATCCTCCTAAATTAGCCCAAAGGCATGTCGATTTATTACTATATGCAGATGATGCAAAATGAAGCAGTTGGAACAAAGGTGGGCAGCTGATTGAGCAGGTTAATTAGATATCTAGAGATAGTTTTTCAAGCTTCAGGAAGCAGAAATGCCCACCTGGACCATGTATCTCATCACACACAGAGATCTGCATGACCTATCTAAACTTGCTCTCTTTCCAGAGGAGCACAGTTTATCCCTGCTGCAATTAAGTTGTTTGCAGCTAAAGCCCAAGCACAATTGCTATACGGGCCTCAGGTGGGACCATAGAACAGCTTGGTTACCTTAGATAGAATTCAAACAAAATTTCTAAGAAACATCTTCCAGGTTACCCACTGTGTTCCAAATGCTGTACTTTGACAGGAAGCAGGAGTCAATAAACTCAAATCTGATCTCTGGATAAATATCTTTACCTATTGGCTAACATTACATCACAACCCCAGTGGACTGACCCATCTAATATTGGCAGATAGCTTCAAACCCTCTTGGGAAATAGCTATCCAAAATAAACTGAGTCTCTATGGTGTCTCCAGTGATGCCATCTTAACCTTAGAGTCAGTTCAAGCTGGACCAATGTTAAGACAAAATATCTCAGATACAGAAAGCCAAAGAGAAAGTGCTGCATTTGCTTATAATATAATTGCTAATAAGGCTCTCCTGAATTTGGGGAAATCTTAACACCTAAACCAGCTTCGCATTTATATCACATTACAGTCCCCAAATTCAGGAGAGGCTTATCTCTCGCCCCATTTCAAGTCCTCCACACAGCTGTTTTGGAAGGGAAATATAGGAAAACCCATAAGAAACCTGATATTGGCCCTGTGACACGGGTGCCATAGAAACCACAGCCCACGTTCTTTTGTGTTATCAGTCCTACAGGGGCATTTGCCACCAGTTGATTACCACCTTTTATTTAAACTTTCAGGGCACTCTGATAATTTTTATCTGCATTATCTGCTAAACAACCAAGATAAATGTATTTCTTTAAAAGTAGCAAAATTCTGCTATGTTCTGTGTAAGCTACGTCCACAAATGGTCGCCAACAGCTATTGATATTAGGGGATAAATTTGCTTTGCTTGTTTTATAGACTGCATTTTTGTTGGACAATTACCAAAATAAAGATTCTGTCTGTCTGTCTGTCTGTCTGGTCTGCCTCTGCTTCCCCAAAAACATCCTTGAAGTCCTCATGTTTAGCTGGCAGTTCCACAGGACCTTCTGCCACCCTAAGAGATTCAGGGACCGACATCAGACCCGTGATGTGAGCGTGACATTGAGGCGTGGAGAAACACAATTATGCCCAATCCCCTGGCTGCCTCCCAGTTCCAGATTAAGAGATATCCCGTGGTGTCAGCCCTACAAGATAGACCAGAGTCGAGCACCAGAATCATGAGTAGTAAAACAATTTATTATACTTATTTTAGGATTAAAGTGACAGACTCTTGCAACTCTGAATATGTCTCCCCCTTCCCTTCCTTGATCCTGAAGAGAACTAGGGAGTGTCCAGTTTGAGATACTTATTCAAATTACATTCCTGCTATGGCACTTACCTGACCATTGCCTTGCCTGTGGCTCTTCCTTTTCTTCCTCAAGGTTATTCCCACAGCCCATTACAGTTGGGCATGTTTTATAACAAACAGGACTGGAAGTGTTTATTTGAAAGGAACAGGACCATCCCATCTCTGACTGCAGACAAACTTAAGGTTTATTAAAATTGAAAAAGTAAAAACATATGAATCTAATTAATATTTTGGAAATTACTTTCAGATGAGGATATATATTACCTATTTATGTTACTCTGGGAACTGTAAGTTTGCTTGCTTTCTCAGGTGTTTGTGATGAACTGGAGAAGTACCGTTCCTCTTTGGAAGAGAGCTAGAAGAAAGATGGTGCCCAGCCTCCTTCCCTCCAACCCATTCCCTCAGTCTTTCTACCGCCACCAATTCCATCTTGACCGACTATCCATACAACCACTCTAATTCATTCCATCTACCAAAAGCAGGTTGCTATTTCTCAAGTACTTCAACTGACCCACCTACAGTACCAATTCAACCCATGCAACATGCCATAGGAACCTCTTTCTTAACCTTCCATCCCCCCATAACCCATCATGGACAT